CCCCCCCCCCCCCCCCCCCCCCCCTATGTTTCAGCAGCTTTTTACAAATCTGGTGTTTTCAGATGTGATAAATACAATTCTGATCATCTCTAGCCTCCATAGGATTTGCACTTTCCATCATCTCCAGACTGCAGTCCCATATATCTGGAGACCTGGCTGGGGATATTTCTTCAAATCCTGGGACAACAGACAGAATTTTTTTTTCCTGCCCCTGTTTTCCTTCCTGCTTTGAATCCTGGTGCTGCGAAAAAGCTTTGTGAACTGAATTACTGTCTGACCTCCAATTGTTTAAAGGTCCTATAAACCTCTAAGATTTCTGTGGTTGGTTTTACACCACATGAAAGAGAAGGCTTGAAACAGAAATTGCATATGCATATAACAATAGAGCTCCGTAGCAACTCGGAGAAAGAAAGAATTCTAACAAGTGGCTCTCAAAAGCATATTTCCCAGAATAATTCTCAGATAAAAGGACAGTGATGTATGCGCTTAACCAGACACCAGACACTCTCTGTTAAACTTGCTTCTTCCAAACACCAAACCCAGATCTTATGGGGAGGGGAGCACCAGTTCAGTACACCCTGCATATGATCAGAGACCCTCTTACTGGCACTCCCCAGGCAACTGAGCCCCTCACCCATGGCCTACCTTTTCCTTCTGGATGCCAGCTGTGGGCCTCCAGCCTCCACGGCGGCGCCTGGTCTTTGAGGCAAGAGGCCCTTGGGCTGTCTTGGCATTGAGGTGTTGAGTGATCTTGACTTCCACAGCCAGCTTGACGTTGGTCCGGAGGTTCTTCCTCTCAAATACTTTCTTGCACTGGGGGCAAGACAGCACCCGAGGGCCATTTCCCGTTGGGGACCCCTCCTCCCAGTAGCCAGTGATGCAAGCCCTGCAATAGCTGTGGTCACAGTCGAGGATCACCGGGTCCTTAAAGTGACCCCTGCAGACTGGGCAGATGGCCGCTCTCTGCAGCTCAGCCACCAGCCCTTTGCCTTCCATGGTGCACAGTTGTGTCATCCTTTGACTTCTGTGTGCTGATGCCAGCTAAACACCTTGTCCTATATAGGCAGGGAGGAGACCAGAGGTGGGTCGGGGAGGAGCATCAGTCGTGCTACAGGTAAACAGCCTTGCATAACCAGCCAGTTCTTCCACTCCAGGAACTTGGTTTTCTGTGCCAAAACGTGGCAGGCAGGAACTGCCGCTGGGGTAGAAGACAAGTCTGTTTTGCTGTTAGAAAAATCATGCCGTCTGATAAGTTACGGCTGGGGGCAGGGTGGGGTGCAGAGCCTCCGGGGGCTTTTGTTTTGTTTTCTGACCACTGCTAGGGCCACCTGATCCTCCTCCTCCATCCTGGAGCTTTGCAGGTCTGCTCCAACTGGAAAGGTTTCTCAACTGCTCTGCAAAGTGCTTAACATGAACTCTATGGCAAATCCCATGCCTTCGGACGCTGCGCTGCTGAGATATATTCTGAAGCACTAAGAATGTGTCAGAAGGCTTCTTTCCTACTTGGTGCCCTTCAGATGTGTTGGGATGACCACTTCCAGATGTGCTAACATCTTCATTTGTTGTAAGACTATTTCTGAAGGAATTCTTCTGTTTAACATTAACGAAACAGCCCTCTTAGCTATTTGGGTTTAGGGAAGACAGAAATGATCACACAAAAAAGAAAGTTGTTACCTTCTTCAAGAACTTACTATAATGGATGGCGTGATCCTTGATATGACAAAATGAAAGCTTCCTTTTTTCATTTGGGAAGTCTTGAATGATATGCTACAGAGCAGTCTTTCCCAGTCTCTGCTCTTGGGGTGATGGGAGTTGTAGTCTGGAGGAGATCAGGCAGGGAAAGACCCCAAAGCTCAAGGCTGAGATTGTGTGTATGTGAAATTATACATCTGAAAAAATGTTGCAGCTACAGAGTTCACCATCAGGTAAAACTGCCCCTGATCAGTCAAGAAACAAAAGTGATGGGAATTGTGATGAGAATTGCGACTACACCCTGCAGTGTAATCTGATACCATTCTAGGAATATTTGATGGCACCAACAACAAGCCCCACCTAAGGTAGGTCTTCTCCCCTCCCTTGTCAAATTCTTGTGTTTCCCCCCAGCCATTTGGCAATGGCTGTATTGTTTGTTCTGCCTAGAGTATGTTCTGAATTCAATAGCATGTCGAATAGCATGCAATTCAGCCCTCTGGAATGTTCTCTCTGGAACAAGAGCTCCTTAAAACTCTCTAGTGTTTTGCTCCTCAACTCTATTTCTGGCCCTAGTTGCTGTTATAACCAACAGAGTCTTGCTCTTCCAAATCTGCCCCCTTCTTTGGCATCTTCTGCTCTTGTAATGTGTGCTTATTATCTTTAATTTCTTCTTATGCATTCAACCTCTTTCCAAAATCCCACTCTCTCCTCCTACAATCCTCTTCTCAATATTTATTTTTCCTTATGTTGCCTTTGGCTTACACCAGTGTTTCTCAACCTTAGCAACTCTAAGATATCTGGACTTCAACTCCCAGAATTCCCCAGCCAGCCATGCTGGCTGGGGAATTCTTGGAGTTG